AGTGCGGTGAAGACAAATAGTTTGAGAAATTGATAAAGTGACATTGATAAATTATCATTTCTTGTTGCACTTATTTAAGAATTGGATAGAGTTTTTAAGATTCTTCAAAGGTGAAAACTTTATTGTTGTTCACTTGTAAACCACACAGTATTAAAAGACATACAAACTCTTACAGTTTTGAGACAACGTATCTGGGATCAGTTTATAGACCATTTAAGCCGAGGGAAGTACCTTTTGGCCATATATTAAGGTTTGCCTTGCTTATTTAGCTGTAAACTTTGGTGATGTTGTAAAGTTACTCATCTAATGCATATATAGAGGTCATCAAACTGTGATCCATGTAGTTGGCTAGACTTCGTTGTCGGGGTTCTGATCAATGTCTGTTGTCCCAGTTTTCAATGAGACCACTGATGGGGTTGACGTGACATGCGGGTGCACTGTATTTCTGTTTCAGAATTCTCATAAAACTTTCGACTTTAGTTTCACGGTTGTCGTTGTCAGTCAACAAGGTGTGTCTGAAAGCCTGAGGAAATTGATGTTCCCTTGTCTGTTCAAACCCGCGTCATTCAGTGCCGAAGTCAGAAATTTTACTACAAAGTGACACCTTTTTTATGACTAAATTACAGAATGAGAATATTCTTAAAATGCATAAAAATATTACTATGAGACACTGGTCATCTAAGAGGTAGTTAGTATTTTCTCACTTTTCACCTACTTGCATTCAGTCAATGCAAATCCTTAGCGTTTGCAAGCTAAACGTTCCTTGATGGGAATGACACAATTTGTTGAGAACCAATTGTGAAACTTTTCAGTGGTTTCCAAACAAAAATTAAATGTTCAGCTGAAAGTATATAACGCTTTAAATTATGAGGTAGTATTCATCATGGGAACCATTGAGAACCTAGGAGGGCTGGATAGCTGTTTCGTCCTAGTATGGGACTCCTCAGCAGTACGCACCCACGACTCGGCTAGGGATCGAAATCAGGACTTTCATGTTTTACGACGAATGCGTTAAACATTCAGCCACTGGGTCAATTTCTAGTGGTTCACGGTTTCCAACTTCTTTCGATTCACGATATAGCGTGACTATCACCCAAGGTCTTCAGTTGACATCTGCTTCCATTCCGACCGGTTGACCCCACAGGTCGCGGCTTCTCATAAGAACTTCAGGATGACCGTTTGGAAACATGTCACCAACGAGCACCACGTAGTAATATATTTTTGAGATGAATGGTGACTTTAATTTTGACGCAGTATTCATCTAGGACTGATATAAATTATGTCAAGATTCTGAGTCCGAAAGCTAAACAATATAATCTTTTGACTAACATCTGATCTACAACCACTCATGTCAATCAACAGTGAGTGATCTAAGTGGAATGAGCTAATCTATCAGCTGGTGTTTAGATTGGCTGAGGGATGGACTATCAGGTGGTCATATCGTCACAGTCTAAGCAAACGAACAAAGTTAAGAAATGTACTCAGCCACCTTGTTCACATCCATGCAGCAGGCAATGAACCACACTTATTGTTTAAGGGCTAGTGATACTATCTGGTTGCTTAACCCTCGGTAGGTGGAGCAGGTTCGAGACCGTTACCCACTGGTTGATGGTTATCTCTGAATACAAATGAACCATAGCTAATCAATATGAACTGCTTAAAAGTGCCGAAGTTTTCCAATAGTATGTTACTTGTATAAAAAACTAGTTGGTATATGGAGAAACCTATATAAAACTTTACCCTATAGCAACTATAATTTCAACTTCCCTTTAGTAGACTATCGTGCCAATACAATGCGTTCAAACGCTATGTATGTGGATGTTGCCTCCTTGTCTCAGTTTAACTTCATGATATATTGGTCACAATATTATGAATTCATATCTCATACGCGTGAATTAACCCGTATGTAGCTGCATCAATTTACGTTTACTTCATTTAACATTATTTTACGTACCTTTTCACCTATTCACTGTATGGATTATATTAGTATCATACCATTAGTATTTTTTTGTCTCAGCTTCTTAATGAAGAATTCTTATTCGACTCCTTTTTTGTGTTTACTGGTATCCACAACTGTTTTTTCTAACTATGCTTACAATACTTGTGCTGGAACCCTCATTGAAGGCTTTTGGAGGCCCTAATAAATTAATATATAAAACCAGAAGAAGCAATTTGGATGCCACCACTGTCGTATATCACAATATTGCTTATAATCTTGATAGAAGTGCCAAGTATGTTAGATGTGCCTTTTTAGACTGTACTTTTAGATCTGATTCGGTCCCAAGACCTCTTTTTCTGGACCAGCTGCATGAGACTAATACTGAGTAGCAGATAATCAGCTGGCTGTATTTCTATTTCCCTGAAAGGAAACAATATACTCCACTTCATCGCTTACTGTGACTGGTGTTTCCCAAGGAACAGCCTGTTCCTCCTGTCTTTTCTCTTTCTTTCTGTATGACTTACCATCTTCAATCAGTATTAGTTTCATCAAATAAATTGAGAATCTAACAGTTCCCATATAACTCAGCCTCTCCTTTTGTGTTTTATAAACTCCTGAATCTTGTTTTTCAGACTTTTTACTGTTTTCTGTTCTGCATATTGGCTGTTCTCTTCTATTGTTCTCCCTTATTTTTTTCCCCGGGTTGCTAAGGTATATTGCATAGAACTTTGAAGATTGTCAGTGGTATGCCTCTAAACCTTCTAATTAAAACAGTCGTGGACAAACGTCTTAGTTTATGTAAACATCTGACAGGAGCTATTTTATCAGATGACTAGCATCCTCATCACTCAAAGCCCTCTGCGTGTCGGTCATCTAGAAAGACAATGAGCAAGTAAATAAAACGTTATGCATGTACTACGAAATATAAAATATCTACAATACCTCATTCAACTGGTCTCCTGTGCGATGAAGAAAGCATTAGGAATGAACTAACTGATCAACTTCTGTTTTTGAAAGCAAACTAAATGATGAGTGCATAGCATGTTACTATTTATATAATATGTACCTAATTACTAGTGTGATTTAAACAAGCAACAAGTGTGAAAAAAGCAGGATTTAATGAGTTCATAAATTTCAGTAGTACTCGTCAGCTGGATACTCTACATACTTGATTATATATACTGTTAAGCAATGGAAAAGAGCATATATATATATATATATATATATATATATATAACGTAGACTGAGACAGATTTAGGTGTAACAACATAGAAGTGAATAATTTTTACAGGTGAAATGGAAATTTAGAGGATGGAAATGGATATTCAAGATTGTTAACACAGGGATGAGAACTGAATCGATTGAGCGTTGATCACGTCATTGAAAACAAGATAGTTAATAGTACTTATGCAGACAATAAGAGAACAAGGTGTATATTGAGATGAATAATAATGAAAATAATGATAACACTGGCAATCGGAATAAGGTTAATTAGATGGAGTAAATCAAGGAGGGAAAACAAATATGAGATGAGTGATAATTAATAGTGAGGAGTAAAATAAGAAAGATTAAATATGATTAGACAATGTAATTATTACCATGGCAGAATCAGGCTGACTACCATTTCCTTCTGAATGCAAAGGTTTGGTTTGACAACTCGAATCGTACAGGCTTCTACATATCCAAGCAACTTCTTATTTTGCTGTCTACTGATAACTTTAAAGGACTTATAGGTATCAATATCATGTCCATAGTCCATTAGGTGCTTCGTTATCGAGCTTCTCGGGGTCTTCTTTTCGGCATGCTTCAACCATTTAGGTATGTGCTCAACCATTCGGGTGGACAGACACCTTTCCGCACGACCAATGTATTTGCTTCCGCAGGTACATTCGAATTGATATATGCATTTAGATGTGTCGAGGATCGGAGTACTGTCTTTACCTGATTGCTGCAATACCCTTTTGGTGGTGCTAAGAAGAACCAGTTTAGCTGCGTAGTAAGTCCTTCTGATAGACTTCTCCAGTCTTCGTCTAACTACCTCTAGCGCGTCGTCACCTTTGAGTGGCAAGATGATATTGACTGGTTTCTTCTGCACTGTTGGGGCCGTTGTTCTGCTCCCTGCCCACTTCCCGTGCTTGTTGTGTATGCTCTTTTCCATTGCTTAACGGTATATATAATCAAGTATGTAGAGTATGTAGCTGATGAGTACTGCTGACATTTATGAACTCATTAAATCCTGCTTTTTTCAAACTTGTTGCTTGTTTTAAATTTGTATCGGAAAACAAATGTTTTCAACTACTATGATTGTTGACCTAAATTAACTACGCATTTTAAAGAAAGTTGTAGATAGAGTGAATATTCTTATATTTTTTTTCAAAAAGTTTCGACTTATTTCATTTATTACGTATACGTGTACAGTGTCCTCATCCAACTGATGCTACATGATATGTGCAAAATTCTGCAGAGTATTCCCGAAATAGCTTTTAGAATAAAGCCATTATTATTACTACTATTACGTATATTAATTAGGCGTTTAGAGAAAAGTTCATTCGCTTGAAATTTCATGATCTAATACATACTCTTCAGCGAAATAACATACATTCAAAATGACTAAAAACTATTTACCACTAGTACATTACTTGTTCACTTGAAGTTTCGTAACTGGTAAAAAGTATATGGAGTGTTCCATAAACCGTTGACGATCAACGTAAATGCATGTTTTCAAATGACATAATTTATACCTCACCGAAATGGTTGAATCTCAGTTATCATAATCACTTATAAATCAACATTGATTTGAAGTTCTAGGCATTTTAAAATTTTTTTCGTTACATCGTTCTTTGTCACCAGGATGTTGTCAGCTTCAATCGTTGTTTTTTTTCTAGAATGAATACCCGTGAACTGTTTCATGTAAAAGTGAATTAACTAGGCGTATATCTTTATCTTGCAAAAAAGCATCAATTTATAATTAAAATATTTTTAAATTTATGAAATTTTCTTAATTATCAACTTGATTTTTATCATCAGTATTGTTGCTAATATAAGCAACATTTATACTTACCCCAATTTCAGCGAATTTCAACAATTTCTCTGATTCTGATCTACTTAAATTCGGTAGGCACCATATATTTTGTGTATGAGTTATACGATCTTTAAGATTTGGTAACTTCGATGATAAGCAGTGTGAATTTCCTGAATCACTAGTATCTACAGCACTATGAAAGGTGTTGTACTGTTTTACTTGTACCTCATGTGGTGATGATGATGATGCTTGAGCGGGTATAATAAAAAATAATTCATCCACATCATCTTTATTACTATGATCATCGTCCACATCATCATAATCGCCATCATTGATATCATCATCGTATTCCGTATCATTATTATCAAGATCATTTTGCTGACGGACATTAAGATTATCAATAGACGAAATTGAAAAACATGAATTTGTAGGTGAAATACTACTCGTATTAGTATGATTACTGTTATTGCCAGTAGTATATTTGTATGGTGATGTGCTTGGTTTTGAATTAAATATAATTTCTGAACGAAACATATTTGAGTCTGATACTTGATGGTTATGTTTAAAGTTTGAACTTAAATTGGAGGTCAGATTATTATTATTATGTTTGTGAGGATGGTAGAGATGACTTTGTCGTTCGTGTTCATAGATATGACTTCTTGGAACATGAAATGTTGGTGATTTACTCAACATATTGAAGATCTAAAAAGTGCAAGGAATAAAATCAATAAAGATCAGCTGGCTGACACAAAGAAGATATAAATAGTTAGTTATCTGTTGAGGGGAAGTTCCGCATAAGTCATTGAATTTTTTCCAAGAAAGTACTCATGGAATAATCCATAAGTAAAAGAGCAGAGTTTTTAATAGAACTACCAATAATTCTTTTAGGTTCTAATGACATTCAACAACATAAAAAGTGGATTAGTACCTTTATAGAACACTAACTTACACGACACGAGTAAAAACAAAATTAGTAGTAACCCAGGTTGAGGGTGTTTAAAAATGTGGCATAGTTATAGACTTTTGAGTAGTATCTCTTGAAGTATACTGTTCGTATGACTTGTGTTTGTAGTAACTACGATTGTAAGCATCAGATCAATGGAGTTAAAATCTAGTCCATTTATCCGGTGAATCATTATGGGTGCACTGCCTATCATCAGGCCTAATCTTTAACTTTGTTCTGTCTGATATTCTAGTTCATGTCGTTCTGAGAAATAGTAGGGGTGAAAGAACTGACCCAGTCACATTTATTTTCCCATATTACCAAATCATCTATGAATATTGTTTATACTACTGTTATTGATACTTTCATTGTGTCACTATCAATTTTTAAATTCAGTCTTTGGAAACTGACCACTTAATCTAGACATCGAAAAGATCCTGGACATAGCAAGTTGACCGTTAATGTTTTATACAAATAAAGCCATTAAAAATGGTAAATGGAGCATAGAAAAGAGTTTATAATTCTCTAGGGTTTTCGTGTACACCACTATGATGAAATGAACACCTTTCGGATTCAACACCTATTAACTGTATCCCAAGTACTTGGAGGTAGTGAGTCATATGGTCTAGTGGGACCATTACGAAATTGAGAGACAGAATGTATGAAACACTGAGGAGTGCTGTATTACGGTGTACTTAAAATGATGTACTTGAAGGATACTCAGTTTAACAGTGAACAGACTTCACCTTAAGTTTGTCTAAGTGAAAACACAATTACTTCGGAGAGGATATTGATACTAGAAAAAGTGTCAAGGATGTATGATTCAATGAAGTTGGACAGTGAAAGTACTCTGAAAACAAATCTGTTCTTATTTGGCAAATGTTAGGCTACAACCCATTTGAATGAAAGAGGATATGACAAAAATGTCTGTATAATGCACTCTGTCCTCATTAGATAAAATGCATAAATTTCACTATCTATCTAAAGCCAACGGTGAATGACTTCATGAACTGCTGTTCATCTGTCCTTTAAATAAACCAGAATATCAATCCATCTCATTCCTTCATCACCAACATTTTATATTTGAAGGACTAACAAAAGTAACTGATCTTGTAATGCTAAATAATAGATTCCTATGTAGAAACGTTTTAAAATGAAACGACCGCTGAGTTTACCACTTTTTACACGAAACAAACATTGAAATGACTAACACGTTAGATAAAGTTGACAATCCTAACGTTGTATCGAAACAGATAATATGTCCATCATGCAGTAACACGGTAATAGGTAGAGAAACGAATAGTGTAGGAGAGGAAATTAAGTAGACTACATCGACATCGATGGTGAGATTATTTGTTTAGAGATTCACTCTTCCAGTGAATATTCCAACTGTGTCACCTTACACAAAGAAGAAGAGGTTGCCATTATAGGAGACATACATGTCTCAAATGAACTGGAGGTGATCGCTGCAATAACATACTGAAACTCAGACCTTACGAAAGCATAAAACCCAGAAAGCCATTTATTTGCATATACTTTTATCAATTAGGGGAAAACGTTGAGTCTTAAAGTAATTTTGCTGCATAGTTACGAAAAATGGGAACAACAATGACCACTGAAAACTGCTGATTCGACAATACACTTGGTAATTTTTAATGACCAATAAAATAGCTAAACTAGGTCTTTGGTTAGCTTCAATAAAAGAATGAAGCCATCCTTTTTCTGACAGGTCAGTAAGCCAAGAGTCACAAAATATGCGAAAAGAAATTTTTTTCCACACACAAACCAAAACTTCAGGTTCTTTTTTTCATTTTTTCCAATAGATATGAACATTTAAACCATCAGAATGGATATTTTAATTATTATTACAAGATTGTACAATGCGAAAGTAGACGAATCCAAGTAGTAAGATTGTCACTAAGATGGTATTACCAAGATTGGAAATCTCTGTGTAAGTTTGAAACTGTCCAGTCACTTTATTCAGCTTTTACGACTCGTCTAGAATGGGCTTGATGCGAAATATATTACTTTCAACTAAATTACATACATAATTTAATATATTGAAGACTGAACTCATATAGTTTAAAGTAGCAAAGTAGAGTTTCGATAAGAACATCGTTAATAATATTCAACAGTCTTTTGGAAATCTGAAATATTTGTCTACAGCATAAACCTTATTGAAATATCTACGTACAAAGCAGTTACAGCGATATTAGGATCACTGAATGTCTAACCTTTATCATTTGGCAGTTTCCCAGTTAGATGTAGTTACATTTCAGTGATTAGTGGTGTTTATGATCATCTCCATCGCGAAATACAGAACGTCACTAACTACCTTCTTAAATTAAGATGGTCACTTGTGTAACATAAAGGTGGTTTTTATAACTTGTAATTTGTCTCTTTCAGGACATTACAATATTTTTTAAAAGTCAGTCAGCTGGCATCAACCTGTGACGTGGTATTTTCATGTAGCAGTCTAGACTGCTGCATCTCTCACTGGCTCATCAGAATATGAGGCAGTAAGATAAAAGATGAAATGATAAGGAGACCGAATATTATCCAAAATAATAAAAGGTTATAGAAAGAGAGGAAAAAGATGTGAAACAGTTACAGACTGCAGCATGTAGACTGCGATGACAGTAATGTTTGGAATCCTTTCTATTACTGAGAATCAATTCTTAGACATGTCGTCTAGATTCTCCAGACACCAGTTCTCGTTGTTACATGGACTCTGACTGAGAATTCGACATTGCCCTACAAAATTTAAGTCAGAAGTCACAGACGTCATGGATTGCTGCCATAGTATAGTGTGACTACCTGTAACCTTTTCAGATATATTGTGCGACGGTATAGACAGTAACTAGGCCTGAGTAACACATTTTCCAGTCACCTTGGTCGATAAAGGTTCACAAACTCATTAGAAGAATTACTCCTCTCTCATAAAACTCCACTGCTGACTTCTACATTGCCAACGTGGTAATACGACGACATTTGATCTATGTTACGAAGGCAGTATTAGTAGCATCCATGAAGACTCTTCATATCCTTTACCTTGAATGGCCATGTTTCACACTCGTTTTTAGTAGAAGAGAGAGAACCACAGAGAAGTACGGTGGACCATAAACGGACAATCAGATATCACAGAGGTGCCACAAATGGTGTAAGTTGGCGAAAGCCGTCTGTTAATTACGGAGCGTAGGATCATGAGCAGTATGTTCGTCGGACTGGTTCTCCTGTGTTTATCGAATGAGAAGTTCTCCCTCTTTTTGAAGAATCTGACATTCAATGATTGATATCAGTCATGGGATATCATGTCTGATTTCCTGGCGTCAGCTTAGACTTGACCTACTTTTGTCAACAGTCTCTGCTGCAAGCCTTTCAGTATCCGCTACCTTTCCTCATTTCAGGTTACTTGTATTTCTCTTAACTTCTACTACAGTTATAGGCACTGGTGAATAGTCAACAGTGAAATTCAAAATGTTTGGCTCCTTCTGTTTGTTACAGTCCAGCTGAATATGTCAAATACGCAGTGGGTGGAAATGCTAATAGCGTGATTTCCTACTAACTACTTCATAACAACAAAGAGCATAGTGTACAGAAGACGACTCAGTCAGACTATAAATCATGATTTACGATTGTGAATAAAGACAAAAGACAGTTATTCAAAGATGTTCATTGAAAAAGATGTAGACCTTACCCAATATACAGAAAACCAGTTTTTGCTGAACTCAGTTATGAGACAGTAGACAAAAATTCTGACAGCAATTTTGGTTAAGATTTAAGTAAAGCACATGAAGTGAACTCTGTAGCATCTTCCAGAAAAATAACCTAGTTAGGCAAAGAGGGTTACTAACTGATAGATATATCACAACATAGCTACAATTTTCTTGTTCATAATACTTGATGCTTTTCCAATCATTTAATAATTTGTTCTCTTAAAAAAAATATGTTGCTCTGTCTAGTGCATCAATAATATACCCATTTTTCATTTTCTTGTTTATCTAATTCATAAAAATATCTTTTCCTTTAGCGCGTTCATTAGTTTTAAGTTCATTTTGTATTTATTGTTTTACCTAAGTTCATGAGACTTACTTTAGTCCTTTTTCGTGTTATTTTACATAAATACATACATATACACACATAAAACTGGGTATGTTGAGGCACGGAAAGAACTGTGATGTAGAATATTTTATTTCGTTATCCCGACCAATACTTTTAAATATTTCATGTCATACACATTTTAAAAAAAGGAAACGTATAATCAAATGGCAAACAGAGGCCCTACGGAAAATGTCTTTTACATATTATTGTATTGTATTCATATACTGTACATTCATTTCGAAGACACTTGTTTACGTTTGTTAAATAATGAATGACATCAATAAATTAAAGGTGTTCAATTTACAAACTATTTTGTTCATTCGTATTGGTGTATGAGTGTTATTCAAAGTGATATTTTCTTAGTTTTATTTAGTACATAATCCTTGTTTTAAGTAACACCTCCTTTGAACGATTATCATATGCAAATGCTCCTCATGGAAGATTGTTGTAAAAAGACGTATACTATATATTTTCCTATCTAGGAAAAATACATTGGGAACTAGAAACATTTTGTTTTTCGTTTTCGTTTAGTCTAGAACTTCTTAGACTTGGGTATGACTGTACTCATATAGCTACAAAGTACCTGAGGTTGCTTGACTTCTACTTTTGGTAAGCAAATGTCCAAAAATAAATAGTTCACATTTCCCACTTAGTTCCG